CGCGTTTCAACACGAATACACCCCCTCGTACAATCACTGCCAGTGATGCCTCCCCCGCCAGCACTAATTGCAGCCGTGCCCCATCATACAACACAGCTATTCAGGAAAATGCGCCAAAGGAAGTGGGGAGAACCGTGACCTGTGATTGGATGACAATAAGGCGCGCCACGGAGATGACAGGAAATCGCCTTTGGTAGAGAACGGAATGCGGTCTGGCGGTGTGGATGAGCTCTAATCTTGGTACATTGGAACTTCACGTACCCAACCATTCACCCAGTACACGTGAGAGTCTTCCTACATGACCAGGCTACCTTCGCTGTAATGCGAATCCACCTCCCTTGGTATCAGGGAAAAAACTCACAAAACACGTAAAGGGCTGAAATCGAAACTCGCGTCACTTTCTCAGTCCGGCGATTGATGGAACGACTGATGTTTATGTCGCGAGTGAGAACGCCAGATACTTCGGGGGAGTTTCGTCCGTGAAGGACATCGTCGTGTCAAGAGAATCTGTTTTGATGCGTCATTTTGACTGCGACTCGGATAGCATCAGGCTTAAAGAAGTACCATTGAATATTATATGTACATCATTATTTAAAATTCTCTGGTAGTATATCGGTTAGTACACGCACCTGTCATATTGTGTAACAATTTGTTGACTTTCGCGCTAAAGCTGGGTTCGACTGCCAGCCAGAGAGTGGGGAATATAAGAGAACCTTACCTACACATTATCAACGTCGAAGACCAGAAGAAAGAAGTATTAACTCACCTATGAACGCGGTATTTTGATCTAGACGGTCGGCTCCGTCTCTAACTTCCAAGTGATACGGTCACGGTAAGATTAATGAATGAGCTAGTTACGGTATTGCGCCTGCTGCGGGGCATGAAGTTAGCAACCGATGGTACTTCGCGTGCGGGTGCAGGGAGAGGTCTGTCCTCTTCTAAGTATTCGTACATGTTTAGCCTGTCTATCTTCATGGGAAAGGACCTGTCACGCGCGTTTCCAGCATGACGAAACCTGGGGTGAATAGGACAGTCAAGTACGGAGTGGGAGGAGGAGAAAGGGTAAGATATTCCGGTTGTAGATGGGAGATGGATGGATGGTCCAACCTTAACGATTCAACAGGCCTCGATCAAGGATAGTGCGGGAGAGGCAACGTTGCAATAAGGCTCGATGGCGCCACTGGCTTGAGCGATTGTCTCATACGCAGCTGATGGATGTAAATGGAACGTCGATATAAATTGATGCCGAGGCCGGGGTGCAAATCACATCGCAGCATCGATAATAGGTCTTGCCCGAGTCCTGGGACCTGCTCTCAATAAATGCTCCTCGTTCCGAAAATGGGAGCGTGACACGCAAGAATATCGTGGCATCAGATTCAGAGGCGTTGTTTGCCTTTCCTTCTCTTCACAATTCCCCAAAGTAACCACCAATGTGGTATGCATCACAAACCGTCGAAGAAAGAGCCCCCGAACAGTTCCTGGGTGCCGTACATTCGCTTTTTTCTCTCGAGAGATAAGGTGGACTAAAGATGGATTTTTCCGAGGATTCTTCTCTCTCCAGCAGTGCCTGTTGAATGAGAGATGCAATGAGCAGATCTCAAAAACCGACGTGATACCGTTGGGATAGCCCGGTGAGAATAAGGAGCAACATTCGGAGAAGTAATGCCGTTTGGTTGGGATAGAGAGGCATGAAAAGTTGGAATGAATTGAAGTCTGGTTCCGTGATTTCTTTAATTGTGAGCGGCGCGGTGTCTTTTAACCCTAAGGTTAGTACATTTCAGGACGACGCGGTGATAGAGCTTACTGTAAGGTGAGCACACGGCTCGTTGAACGCGAGTCAGCCTCGTTCCCTTCATATCTAACTCTAGATTCTGATGGACATACATGGAGCAGTGGCGTTCATCAAGTACCTCTTAAAAGAAGGAAAGTTCATTTCATCGCTCTTTAAATACCAGCATGAAGACACAAACAACGGTCCAGATGTAGTCTTCATCTCTCATGCCACCAACGGATGAGGGACAGAATGGGAGGGCCAATGGACGACGAGCGGGTAGTGCATGATCATTTCATATTCCACGGTCATTCCTTGGCGATGATCCCTCTATTTCAGGATGTGGGGCTATCCCGCATAGGCGCTCGGGGTTGCACAAGACAAGATAGACCGTCCAGCCATTCGTAAGTTATGCCTCCCAGCAGTGATCATCGCTGTTCACCGCCACGCTGCCAGTGGCGAAAGGCTTGCGCCAAAGGAGAGCAGGATGGTCTAGGGATGGTCGGAAACGCGAACGGAGCGTGACGCGGGAAGGAATTGGGTGATGAAGGGAAATAACCTTTGATCGTGGCTAGCACCAACGAAATCTGGAGGGTAGACACACGTCTTTCTCTAACCGGGCTCACCCTCGTACATTGATGAAGGATCTTCAACGGGCCACAGATGGAAGAGCGTCATGAACACACGGTCGACTTCTCCACCGAGGACTTCTGAATGCATGGAAGCGGTCATGCTCGTCCATGATGTTGCTTCATTCCGAAGCTTTCACCACGGACAAGGTTCTTCAACGCGGGACACTGGTATGAAGCTTGATGTCGTATAGGGGGCGTAAAAGAGAAGAATTCCAACAGCGAACATGGATACAGAGATTGATGATATTGACTATGCACACAAACGGTCCGCCATCTTGACGGCATTGAATATGACATACAACTTGATCATGACCTGACCGCGTATGATGTGGTATCTTGCTTATGGGATGCAGAGACGAGGAACGTAACCACGAGCGTAGCGAGTCTGGAAGCCGCTTGAAGTATAGCACAAATGACAAAGCGAATTGGGAGGATAGTGGGAGTGGACACAAACGAGTCCAGGCAAAACTCAGACGACGCCCAACGTTTGAAGACTTCGGAGGTAAAAGGACAAGAAACATCGCGGAGCCTTTATATTTGCTCCGTGAGGGGGCTATCATCCAGCCAGCATTTGATCTGTCTCGCCTACGGGAACCGGCGAGATTACGAGAGAGACTCCTCAATTCGAAACGCTGATAGGTATCGCTGGGGCTTATTATGGGAGGGGTGACTTCAGCACTGTGTAGTCCTTGCATTAACGCACCGGTAGAGGCAAGAAATTGTGCTGTACACCCGTTCTCTATCAGAATCCTTGTGCGAGATAAGAGGCCTGTATGACCCTGATTGTGGAAACCGATTTCTTCCTCAAGTGATTCGGGGGGGACCGACTCATCCTTCTATTCCAGATCGTCCAAGTAATCAGTCCGGCGCGCGCAGGTCTCAATACTGATATGAGACGACTGGGATAGTCCGATGAGAACAAGCGGCAATATGAATGAACATCGTGGTTGAGATATTGTGGGACTATGATAGACTGGCGGGCTTAGGCTTGTCTTTGATCCTTCTTTAATTGACAGCGACGCGGTATCTTCCAATCCTAAGGTTAGTACATTTCAGGACGACACGGCGATAGAGCGTACTGTAATGTCCTCAGCACACGGCTTGTTCCCTCCATATCTAACACGTATGCTGTCCCTTATTCTGATGAATGTACACGGAGCGGGAGCGTCTACGGAAGGTCATTAAGTCCTTGGTATTAAGAAAACGTGGTATAATAAAGAAACTCACCTCGGAACTGCGCGCCTGATATTAGAACCTAGCCGGAAGGCACAAACCATGGTCCAGATGCAGTCTTCCAGCCGCACATCATGTTGAGGACTCGGAGCAGCATATATGCGGTGGGTACCAAGCAAAATGAAAAGGTAGTGTTTGATGGTGAGCGTAACTCGACGGTTCCATGGTCATTACAGCAATCCCTCCATCGCGAGACGTTGGACTATGCCACATCGCTTGATAGGCATTCATACAGCCATGCCTCCCCGGCGTATGACCCCAGCGCTGACCGTCGTTGTAGCAGCAGTCCACCGCTGTGCTACTGGTGACGGAAATGGGCCAAATCAGAGCAATGGTCTATGATCTACTGTCGGAAATGCGGTTGAATGAGAACGAAAGCAGCGCGAGAAGAGAGATTAAGTGTCCGGGAAACCGCCTTTGGTACAGAATCACGCGAGTTTGTCGTGATCTGGCGCTACTGAGAAAAGGCATGCAGAACACAGCGACAAAGACCCCGTTGTGGGTGTTTGAAGGTCCAATGTTGCTTCCGCTGAAGCGCCAGATGCTTCAGTCCATAGAAGACATCGCCATCGGCATGGAGAAACTGATGCGCGCGGTCTGATTATAGAGACGATGAGGGAGGACGCGAATGGGCGAGGCTATCGGACAAGGAGGTGTCCCGCGCGCATGACCATACCCGACGTTCCACAGTGTATGTCCCTGGGCTGTCCTGCCATTGCTTGACAGTAACCGCTCGACAACCAGTCCACCCCGCTCATAGAATCATTGCCTGTGCTCGCCTCCTCCGCCAGCGCTAACCGTCACTGTGGCAGCCGTGTGCTGGCTGTCTAAAGCTGCGCAGCTGATCACGAAAATGCGCCAAAGGAGGATGAGACTTTGAGGGAAACTGTGAGGTCAGAAACGCAATTGGATGACAAGGGGGCACGCCACGGCAACGGCGGGAAATCACCTTTTGTTTGAGTGAGATGGAATGAGTTCATGGCGGTCTGGCGGTATGGATGAGCTCTAATCCTGTTATTAGAGTCGTTGGAATTTCACGTACCTTGTACCATTCTACCAGTACACGTCAGAGTCCTTTCTACATATCCAGGCCACCTTCGCATACAAATCTACGTTCCTTCATTCCGCCGTGAGATATCAGAAAAAAACTCGCAAAACACGTCAAAGGGCTGACATCTCGAATTCGAAACTTGTGTCGCTTTCTCGGCCCTGCTTTTGATGGAACGTCCGACGTTGCTGTCGCAGGAGCTGATGCTGCGAGTGAGAGCTCGGAGGAATTTCAGGACATTGTGTTAAGCACTGAACCTGTGGGTGCCCAGCCCACGAGTCGGGATCCGAATTATGGGCTTGAACGAACAATGTATTCTCTGGTAGTGTATCGGTTAGTACACGCGCCTGTCAACTAGGAACTTAAATTTCCCTTTCGCGCGAAAGCTGGGTTCGACTCCCAGCCAGAGAGTTTCCACTAAAATGGCTTGATTGTTGCATCTTTTTTCATATGTGGCCCTGAGGAGTGGGGCCGAGCTTGCTCGTCGTCGCTCGAGGCTCCAGAGTCCAGAGTCCAACCTTCAAAGTTCAAAGTTGCAAGTTTAAGTGATTAGTAAAAGCTGAACGTCGCACGTTTGTCTGTACAGAGATAGTACATGGTACAGGTAACAGTGTATTTCCGTGGAGTTCATCCTCTTGCCTCTAAACTTGAAATCCGGAAAGCACTCTTTGTATTTGATTTACCTCCACATGAGCTTGCGAGGCAATGCATCCAGTCTAAGCATAATATTATATTAAGGTAAGTAGATCTAGTAGCAAACATCGAGAGAAGCACATGAAGCTCTTGCTCGCTGTGAAGAAAAGACTAAGTGAAATGATATAAGACATGTAATAAAAACAGGCAAAGGAACGTGAATTCTTTCTGGCGGATAGATGTAAGATAAAAAGCAACTCAATAACATAGTAAAGGTATCGCGGTCTCTCATCGTCAACCTTTACTTGCTATTTGTCGCAGAGCCTCCGCTACTGTGAGTCTGCCCTCCACTCCCGGTCCCACTGGGCTCCTTAGGATCTCCCCCTTTCTGGACTTCGCTCGACCAGTTTGAAATTTATTCTGGAGATTGGAACTGCAGAATTGATAAGCACTTGAAAATAAGACGATTGCCGTTTTCCGGTTATTTAAAGGTGACGTGCATCCTATTGAAAAAGCAATCTTTATCTGAGCCGGAGTGACTGTTTCGTGATGAGCTGAGCCTGGTCGACACTGCAGACGAATGCTAGATGCAGACACAGAAGATGTAGAGAATAGTTGGCATACGAGTTTCTCCCAAGTTCGGGCTGAGTTCGGGGGTGTCAATTAACATCGCTCGTCCTTCTCGAGGATTCATTAAACTCTAATCGGATTGACCAACATCCAATAGTAGCGGACGAGATCATTTTGGTGAACGCCTCGAGGTTTTGGCGTGTTAATCGCGTTGTAACTTCTTGGTCTGCTGGCTGGAAGGCAAATAACAAGCGCCACGATCTCTGGCGCTTATCGCTCTCATACATAAAATGTTCAGACGTGGGAATGCATGTTGTTCCTCCACCCCACCGACGTCCACGTCTGAAATTACAACATCTTGGACACGCCCTCTCCACAACGATCAGCTATAATGTCTGCGTTTTACCGCTGCTTTCGTCGTTCCAGGGCCCAGGGACCTATCCTCAACGATGGAACCCACCGTAGCTACGGAGCCATAGAAGCTGCCATAGCAGGTGAGTCTTGTCATCAACTTATATTATCGAAACTTATAAACCACTCGCAGGCATTCATAACATCGAAACTCGTAACCGGCTCTTAAATCACCCTCTTATCAGAAAAGCCCAGGGCATCGGGATCCTTGCCAAGACTATCGTAGTCTTGCTCACCATACTGTTCGCTCTCATCTGTATCGCAATAATGACTGCAATCACCAGCGCATTTTGTGGTGCTTGTATTGTCGTTGGCCACTGGATATTGCTTCACCTCAGCTGCCCCCAAAGCCCTTATTCCCAGGTCAGCTTCTGGTCGACCTTCCTGGTCGGATTTTGGGGATCCATGGCTGCATTTCTTCCGTTTGGAGTGCTGAGCGTTTCGTTGCAAGCCTGTTTTATGCGTGCTTCGGATAGAGCGTTCAGGGATCCTCAGATTCGTGTTGAGTATCTTGTGGGTCGGAGTAGATTGCGCGGCTGGAGTGCCTCTTGTCGGGCACTACTATGGTATAGAGACGCTGGGGCTTGAGTATGCCATAGGCGCCGCGTACACTGCGTGGGCAGTAGGCTGCTTCGTGTTCACAGTAACGGTACTCTGCATGCTTCGCACAGTATAAAGTTGGATGTTTCTCCTGATGTACAGTCCCCGTGTTTGGAATTACGTTAAGATCTCAGCCCTTTGTAGTAGCAACGTACTAGGACCTGGAGCACGAAAGCTTTATGCGCCTTGACAAGACTGCAATTGGATAGACTGTGCATCTCCTTGTTGTCGGAACTTTGGAAGGGGGGCTGGGGAAGCATCGTGTATTACACATGTAAGCACATTGCGAAGCTAATAAGATCGCAAAAAATTTTGCTGAGAGGGGTCGTGGAACGTATGAGTCCTATACCATAGCACACCATGCATGCATCCATGGATCTGTGACTCGGCCAGGAAGATACTCTATTGCTGATGTTAGATAATCAAGGACAGAGGATGGGTCGGCGCTCCTAGGAATCGACGAAAGGCAGTGTTGCGAGAAGTAGCATGACCCAAGGGCCAGGGCTGCTCCTCCTGTATACGCAACACGGATGGTATCTCCAACTTTGAGCGTCACTACACCATAGTGCCCAATGCGAGGCACTCCAACTACACATTCCAATGCGACTTTTGCAATGAAAAGGACAACACCCAAAGTAAGGTCCCTGAAAGATCGCGCAGCGGGGCGTAGACAATCCAGAAAGGTATGGTCGAAACCGCCCTGCTATGGGTTTTGAAATTTGGACGTCCAATGTTGCTGCCGCTGAAGCTCGTGCGCATGACCATACTCAACGGTTCCACGGAAATCACGGCAATCCCTCCATTGTAGATGCTCGACGATGGATCCACCCGCTCGTACAATCACTGCCAATGATGCCTCCCACCACTGACAGCCGTGTGCCAGCTGTCTATCGGTGTGCTGCTGGTGACGAAAAAGGGCAAAACTGTGACCCGCTTTCGGGGACGCGATTGGATGAGAACGAGGCGCGCCACGGGAAGAAATTGAGCAACGACGGGAAAATTAAAATCGCCTTTAGTGTATAATGGAGTGAGTCTATGCAGTGTGGATGAGCTCTAATATCGACAGCTGTCGGAATCTCACGCACCTTGCACCACCTTCGCAATATTCCTCTCTACATATCCAGGCTGCTCTAGCAGAGTACCGGGCAAAATGAAAAGGTAGTGGTTGACGGTGAGTATAGCTCGACGGTTCCATGGTATTTATGGTGACCCCTCTATTTCGAGACCTTGGACTATCCCACATTGCATGATAAGCATTCGTCCAGCCCCCGCATGATCCCAGCGCCACCCGTCATTTTAGCAGTCCTGGCTGTCTGTCGCTGTGCCAAAAATGCGCCAAAGGAAGGCGATGGTCTGCGATTCGCTGTCGGAAATACAATTGGATGAGAACGAAAGCTCCGCGAGAAGGGACTGAGTACAGTGAGGGGTAGACTCGAACCAGTCCCTTGAAATTCGATGATAGTCAATCGAAGTGTAAAGGTACAGAATCGACCTTCCTTAATAGAGTCAAATTTATTCCCACGCGCTTCTGGAAACAATTTCGACCGCTCTGAAATTATCCTGGAGATTCGAACTGGAAGAAATGATAAACACTTAGAGGTAGTAAGATGTTACCGTTTTCTGATTTTTTTGCAAGTGATGTACACCCCATTGAAAAAGCAGCCTTTATCTGAGCCAGAGTGACTGTTTCGTGATGAGCTACAGATAAACTTGAATACTAGATACATACACAGTCGTGTCTTTATACTCAGAAAGCCGTCGGTTGGACCTTCGTATTATTGAGCGGGCTATATCGAAGAGTTGACATGAGCTTCTCCCAAAGTTCGGGGGTCTTCATTCACATCGCTCGTCCTTCTCGAGGATCCATTAAACTCTAATCGGGATTTACCAACATTCAATAGCGGATGAGATAATTTTGGTGAACGGCTCGATGGTTTGGCGTGTTAGCCTCGTTGCTCCCACGGTAACTTCTTGGCTGAAAGGAAAACGACAAGCGCCAGGATCTCTGGCGCTTACCATTCTCATACATAAAACGTTCAGACGTGGGAATGCACGCTGTTTCTCCGCCCCACCGACGTCCACCTCTGAAATTACAACATCTCGGACTCGCCTTCCCTACCACGATCAGCATAATATAATGTCTGCGTTTGACCACTTTGGTCGTTCCAGGGCCCAGGGTCCTATCCTCAACGATGGCACCTACCATAGCTACGGAGCCATAGAAGCTGCTCTAGAAGGTGAGTCTTGTGGCCGACTTATACCACCGAAACTCATAAACGACTCGCAGGTCACGTTCATAACATCGAAGCTCATCATCGGCTCGTAAATCACTCTATTATCAGAGAATCCCAGGGCATCGAGATCCTTGCCAAGGCTATCGGACTCTTGCTCGCCATACCGTTCGCGCTCATCTGTGTCGCAATAATAGTCGCAATCGTCAGCGCCGTCAGCGGTGCTTGGCTTCTCGTCGGCCACTGGATATTGCTCCACCTCAGCTCCCCCCAAAGCCCTTATTCCCAGGTCAGCTTTTGGTCGACCTTCCTGGTCGGATTTTGGGGATCCATGGCTGCATTTCTTCCGTTTGGTGTGCTGAGCATTTCATTGCAAGCCTGTTTTATGCGTGCTTCGGATAGAGCGTTCAGGATCCTCAGCTCCGTGTTGAGTATCTTGTGGGTCGGAATATATTGCGTGGCTGGAGTGCCTCTTGTCGGGCACTACTATGGTATAGAGACGCTGGGGCTTGAATATGCCGAATATGCCGCGTATACTGCATGGGCAGCAGGGCTTCTTTGTGTTCATAGTAACAGTACCCTGCATGCTAGTCTAGGCCGGCTCAAGTCCGATGTTCATGTTCGACGATCCGTAGAAAGTTGGACGTTTCTCCTGATGTACAGTCCTCAGGGTTTTGAATTATGTTGAAATCTCAGCCATTTGTAGTAGTAGCACCTACCTAGAGCACGAAAGTCCTAGTGCACCTCGACAAGAAAGATTAGAGTTAGTGGTCTGGCGGTACGAATGAGGACCCATTTTGCTGCAGTCGTCTAGTATAACGCACCTTCGCTATACTGTATCCGCCTGAGGCCTCTCGTGCATGCAAATTTCTGTTGCATAATAGGTAGCATATACCCACCGTCGCTCGATGATGAGTCCCAGCCTGTATCCAAATGGTCAATCGACCTTGAGGCTGTTTGAAATTTCTACCCACGCAAGATTTTTGTCAGGTATGCAGACTGAGTTTCGAATTTAGAATACTTATAGATAACACACACTTACTGTGGCTCCCTGTCCGTATCCATGGCCAGCGTCCATCAAACGCTGTTAGACTTTGTCTGAAAGACATATTCATTGGCATCTCCATCTGAATGTTGTGCTGCTTGCTTAGAGGCCGGGACTTGAACAAGTGTTGGACAGTGTTGGAATCCTAGGTGTTGCGCAGGGTAGACTCCAGGCTGGTAAAGCCAGATGTAAATGAACTTGTATTCTACTGCTCCTACAGAGCTTGTATTTATACTACTTTGCTATCATATCTAGAATGTACTATAATGTTCTTGTCCTCTCGCGCTTACTCAGCGACTCTCGGCACGATGCCAGATTACTCCTTCTAGAGCTTTCCAGCAGAATCACAACAGACAGGAAGGAGGTGATCCGCTTGACGGTTCCACGGAAATCACGGTAAGGCCTCGGGTCCACCAACTTGCACGAGTACTGCCAGCTGCCAGCACTGTTAGCAACCGTGTCCCCGCTGTCAGCTAGTCTCGCTCTCGTATGGTCTTGGAAACGCGGCTGGATGAGAACGGAGCACGCCACGGGAAATCGCCTTTGGTAGCAGTCTGGTGGCATGTATGAGCTCTAATCTTGTTACAGTTGTCAGAATCTCATGCACCTTGCACCACCCAATTGGCTACGCCTTTCTACATATCCAAGCTGGCTTTCATCGTTCGTTTTGCTGCTGAAAAGTTAAGTATCAGAATAAACACTCAAATTGGAAACTCGCATTGCTTGCTTGGCCCTGCTATATCGTTGGTGGAACGTCATATGTTGTTGCGAGTGAGAGCTCGGGCGAAACTGCCCATGGAGGACTTGGTCGTGGAATGGCTTGTGGGAAATTATATCAAGTTGATTATCTAAGAATCTAAGATTGATTTGGTCTCTGGTAGTATATCGGTTAGTACACGCGCCTGTCATATAGGCTTTGGAACTCTTCGTGCGAAAGCTGGGTTCGACTCCCAGCCGGAGAGTCTGTGATTGACTCAGCACTTTTTTTCTCCCCCGATCTCGGAAATCCGGAATCCGGATACGACGGTAGAATGCCCAGTGCCCAGTGCCCACTGTACCACCTAGTTACTAAAATTTGTTGCCCATTTAACAATCATTATTCATGCGAGGAGAAGTCCCATTGCATGATCCCAGAATCAAGTAGTAATATTATGAAACCCACCTCTTACATCAAGGGTGGTACGTACTACGACCACACTACGAAATTTGGAAAGGAACAAGCTAAGATAACTTTACAGGGTGCTCATGTAACTAACAAAGAGAAGAAGACTTTCAGAAGGCGAGCGAAAATATCACATCTGAGTAAGAACCGATCTGTCAAGTCACCGGGCTCGAACGTACTCTCTGACTCCATGCCTCTCTGACTTGAGCAGTCATCGGGGCGGTAGCTGGAAGGATCACTTTGTGGGAAATACACCATGACATTGCACCGGAACGTCGAATCTGTTGACCGGCACACGGTGTAAACCTTGCCATGGAGGAAATTGAAGTACCAACAAGAGAACGTGGAGTATGGCGTTCGAATGATAGCGGTGTCCGCCTGGCCCAGGGCTCCTTCAGCAGGCGAGGCCACCGATTCAGGAAAAGAAAGCGTCGGTTTGGTGTGGAATCATGGCCACGCAAAAGGGAGCTCGCAGCCTGTTCCCCATCACCCCCAATGGATGGTTCAGATCATAAGGAAAGTCTACGCGGACTATCGACGATGAGGGATGCTGTGCTGAGTTCATGTTCACCAGCATATACTCCGCCGACCCAGTATCACCGCGACCTTCCCAAAACATTGACTACCCGGGTAAATGCCTTGACAAAGGAACACAGACCGAGGGACCTCAGTTCCCCATGCCGATGGGAAGGACTGACAGCTGAGGTAGGCGCCCCTGCTGTATTGATACATGCTACCCTGGAGTGATATCCGCCACTAGGATATCTTCCACCGAGGGCAGGAGAGCAATGGTCGACACCCCTCACGAATCATGAACGTGGCGAACGGGGCAAGTTCACGATTGCTAACCCTCTTTACGATGCGGGTAAGAGGGAATGTGATATCCGAGCGGGGCAGTGTGGAAGCCAAATAAAAAGGTCGGGGTATTGTGGAGTACATGCGCCGGTTCTCCTATGAGGAGGAAAAGGAGGTCGTGTTGGGTGTTTACAGATGGGTTACACCAGGAGAGGAGAAATCTAGACAAGGACAGAGTGTTCCATTCGATGGCGAGTGTCGATCTGCGCGAAAATGAACCTTGCCCAGATGGAACTTCCCAGTGGGAAGGCTCGCCGCTCCCGCACGGATAGAGGTCGCGCTAGCCATGATGGGCCAAAACCGTGGCGGCACCGAATGTGGTATCGACGCGAGCTTCTTCCCCCTCATAGAAGGGGAAAGGGTGGAGAAATGGCCAGCTCCTGGTGCCGTCGCTTAGTGTGATCCATTCGGCATCGTCCCATGGAGAATGCTAGGAGAAGCATGCATCATGTCTCAAATGGAGACAAGAATGGCCAGGAGGATGGGAAGGCGCAATGTTAGATAAACGCCGTGATTGGAAGAAAGGCGCGGACTGATTGAATGGTAGCCTTAGGCTCGTCTTGAATTGAGAGCAGCACGATATCCTATGATCGGTACATTTCAGAACGACACAGTGATAGCGCTCACTGTGAGGTCCATTCCGAGTTCGCTCCCTTCGTATCCAACCCCGCAGAACCGGAGCGTCTGCCAGGTCCGAGGAACTTCGCCTCATCGCTCGACGACGATCCATGCAAACGATGCCTCCTCTCCATCCATCGTCGCGAACGAAGCTTTAGTCTTCCTGCCGCGCATCTAGCAAGGGTATCGGAAGGTTGGGCCTAACTCGACGTTCATCCCCCCATTGTGAGACCTGGTAGCACATTGTGTCCCTGAAAGGAGGGCGAAACTGTGACCCGCTTTCGGGAACGCTGTTAGGAAAGAATGGTGTCTGGCGGTGTGGATGAGCTCTAATCTTGTTGTTAGCTGTTAGAATCTCACGTACTTTGCATCACTGACTAGTACACGCTCCATCCACGCGAATTCACGTTAAGTTTCGCCGTGACGTCTGCTGTAAGATATCAGGGGAAAAAAAACTTGCGAAACATGACAAAAGGCTGACTAGTAGGCTTTGCCATTGATGAAGCGTTTGATGTCGTGGGAGTTTCGCAGGACCAGCAGTTGCCGTAGAGGGGTGATAATCACTAGGAATCGAGATAGTGATATTATTCTTTGGTAGTCTATGGACTAGTACCCGTGCCTGTGATTGAGGCATTGGGGTTTTGTTGGTGCGAAAGCTGGGTTCAACTCCCAGCCAAAGAGCTTTGCAATAGGATATCTCCTTTTTTTCTTATCCCAGGGGCGGCCCAGAATCCCTACTTAATACCCATTCAAGAATCACCATTGCTCATCATCCATACGAGGAAAAGTACCGCTGGAAGATCCTATAGCCTAATAGTATTATGATATTAATGACATCTTACGTCAAGGGTGGTATGACGAATTTTAGAAAGAAACTAGCTAAAATGTCTTTACAAGGTGCCTATGTAGCAGTCGGCAAAGGCAAGCGACAATAACATATCTGAGTGAGAACCGTCTGCGGCCGGCGGCTGTCTAAATCCATGCCTCTCTGACTTGAGCGACCAGGAAGACGGTAGCCGAAAGGATCATTTGTGGAAAACACCAGCGACGAGGAGATTGTTGAATGTGCGCGGCGTAAATCTTGCCATGGCAGAGTCAACAAAATGCGCCGGGCTGAGAGTGCATACCAAGCCTCGTCCTATCATTTGCATGCGGAGAGAAAAGGCGCGCGCCGGTTCCTCATCCACGCCAAAAAAGAAAAAGGAGCCCTCCATGAACCCAAAAAGCGCATGTACCCGTCGGACAGCTGGTGCTGAGTACGGAAACGGCGCCCTCTCATCTAAGGAAACTCGCAGTCTATGTTGAACGTAACCCTGAAGGGTTCCCAGTTAGGGGGCAGGGCGTCGCTGTCGCATAAAGGTACGGAAACCGCACCAGGGGAGGGGGGGAAGATGTCCGTGCGCCCAGGCCACAAAGAAGATCCGCACGGGCTATCGAGAGCATGCGACAATAAGACATGACGGCAACCTCATGTTCGCCAGCATATATTTCGTCGCCCTAGTATCATCAGTTTTTCCACGACTTTCCCGTCCGTACGTCGACTACCAAGACGCCCACTGCCCGGGTAGATGAAACAAAGACCATAAGGACCTCTTGTCGATGGGAAGGAGAGGTGGGTGTTCCTGCTGGATCGTTATGTGCTACCCTGAACGTCAGGTCAACCGAAGAGGGCTCGTGATATCCGCCGCTAGGATATCTCCAGGAGACCACCAATCGTGAACGTGGCAGACGGGGTAGGATGAGCGTGCAATGCGCCCAGACGGAGAGAGAATGGAATGCCGGTGTGGAAGGCAAAAGCAAAAGGTTGGAGTACATGCGCAGGAGAAGAGTTATCGTTTGGGGGTGGACTTTGATGCTTGTCGTGTTCCGTTAGTGTCGATCTGCGTGAAGATGAACCTTCCGGGATGCGGTACTTGGTCCAGGCATATCGAGCTTCCTACTGGAAAGGCTCCCGCATGGATAGAGGGCATGCTAGCTATGATATGCAAAAATCGCAGGCCATATCGAGGGTGGAGTGTGGAGATGTTGGCGGTGCTAATGACAACCGATGAGGCTGCAAATGTGGTGTCGGCGTGAGCTTCGTCGATGCCCATGACGTATCCCAGTGATCACGGTCTTGCAGGATGGTAGAAGCAGCACAAACCGTGAGACCGCTAGGAGTGTGGATACCATTGGATGAGAATGAGAACAAGGCGTGATGTCGATGAATGGACGTCGTGGTCGGAAGAAAGGTGCGGACTGATTGAATTGAGACGGTATGACATCCTATGATTAATACATTTCAGAACGACACAGTGATAACGCTCACTGTGAGGTCCATTCCCTATAGTATTGGGCACAGAGTTCGTTCCCGGAGCGTCCACCAGGTCCCTGGTGAATGAGGCGCCAAGGCCTCATCGCTCGACGTCGATCCATGAAAACGATGCCTCCTCTCCATCCATCGTCGCGAACGAAGCGTTGGTTGTCGGAAATGCAGCTAGATGGGAACGGCGAGAAGGAGAAAGGAAGGAAACCGCTTTTTTGTATGTAATGTGGCGAGAAATTAGATTCCCTTGGTGTATCGGTTATTCGCCGTGTTCTGGGTTCGACTCCCGGTCGGAGCGGTCGTTCTTAAGTAATGTACTTTTTTTTTTGCTCTGAGAGTAAGTAAGTAGTCGGAACTTGGAAGTCCATGTATACGAATGTCTGGGTTCGATTCCTAAACAGAACGGGAGAGTATTCCTGTTTTAACAGCACTGGCAGTAGGCTGAGATACCACCATTCATCCAACGTGCATACTCCAAGGAGCGATTAATATTTGTACTTGCCAGACAGCTCCTACATCCTGTACCCTAATCTGCAGCATCGATTCAATGTATCACGCTGCTGCAGGACAATAATTCAAGGATATACACCCGGGGTGATAAAAGCAGCATAGATCGAAAAATGAGGCTGAAGCATCCCCAGAGAATTGTGGTCGCGAAATGAACGCTAATTTTTTCTTCAGCACAGCGACCATGATGACGACCTAAAAGCAAATGAATACACGGAAAATGGATGAACAAAAAGCCGACGTCGTTTGCGAGAGATCAGGCAGTAGCTTCAAAACATAGTAACCGAGGACCCAAATATTATGGCCGGTCCAGCCTCAGAGATAGGACAAAGTATTCGGACCTGGACCCGTGACATACCATTTCACAGTCAGCGCCAAATGGGAGGTAGCCACTGAAAGAAATTTCGCATGACAAGGCTGGCTTGAAGATCAGTCCGTCCTCCTCTAGATGGCGAACACACAGGTAGGCAGAGCGGTGTTTTTGGAGAAGACAGCTTCCTCTTGAAGTTTGCAGCAGTTACGCCCGGCACCCCCATGATAGAAGCAGCACGTCTCAAAAAGCGCCGCGAGAAAAGGATGAATTATAGTGTTGATGAGGGCGAAGGGTTTTTGTATCAATGGCAGGTTCCGTGGCTCCATGAATTGAGGGCGGCGTGGCATGCTATACACATTGGAACGATACCATGACATTCGAAAGGCGAGGAGGGCGAGTGTTACACGAGTCTCCGCGAAGCCGAGCCAACGAGCCTCAAGAAGAACCATGAAAAAAGCCGATGTCGTCCCGAAGATTGTGGTTTGGAAATGAACGGCTGAGAGAGATTTCGTGATACTGTATGTGAGGAGTAGATATTGCCGTGTGTGTTCTACACGACCAGACTCTACGTAGAACATATTATATCCAAGGTGGAAAGCAGAGAAAAGCCCGGCGCACATGTTGCGAAAGAATAAGCAATGAAAGCGGGGTGAAATAGAATGCACATCAACAGACGTTAATCCTTCGGTGCAATGATGACCACCGGGTTATCTAGTAGTTCCTCTGATTAGTTTTGTAGTGATCTTGATGGGTGACGCCATCATCCGAGTAGACAATAGAAGCCGCCGCCACCGCATATTCATCACCTCTCTCTAACTGTGCTTCAAGCTCATCGCTCCCCTGCTGAGACCTCCGCCCTCCCAAACGTGTACCAAAGTGAAGCGAAGACACGATGCTTCCTTGCCATGAATCATCCGGTCGCGCATGTCCTGCTGCGACACGCCCCACGAGGAGCGTCGGTGCAATTCCCTACATAAAAACTGTAACTCAGCAGACGACGACAACTGAAGAACATACCCTTGCAATCCCTGCTACGACATCAATGTAACCCGACGCGGGAGTGTCATAGCAAAACACAGCTACATATAAGATCAAGGACAGCGAATAAAGAGCCGATGATTCGACAAAGACTTCGATAATGTGGCGGTAAGTTCCAAGTCGAGCTTCCCCTCGTACAACGGCCACGATGCGGTAGATGATGAGCAGGGTGCACCATAGAGTCGTAGCAAGGATAAAGGCTGAATGAAGTACGAACCCGAGAGTGTACCCGCTTATCGTGGCATATGACTTGTATATAGCGATGCTGTTGAATACTGCATGGGGTGAATTCGCAAGCTCTCAGTGGAGATCAGGTTGATCATACCGATTGTGCAGATGAGGAAAAGGACGGGCGGTAAAATGACTGGCCATCGCCGTCCCCAGACCGTCCAGCAGCGCCAAATCTGTAATCTGGTTTGATGCCATGGAGTGAATAAGTAGCACGAGTTGCACATACCAAGGTGGAGTCTGCAAGAGCAGTACAGATGATACCCGCAACACCCATCACCAGGGTCAAATTTATACTGTCACTATTGGCAAACAGATATTCTGCCCAAGAACTCTGTGCGTTTCCAACAAAAAGAGTGCGTGTGTATACCCAGTCGGCGATGAAGTTGACGGAAGTGACGATGTGGAGGGTAGATATGACAACGACCATGCCCCGTCCGATGGGCCGAGTCTTGTTCGTATCTGCACCGTTCCCTTCAGCTTGAATAACATGGTGGACATGTTTCTCTCACAGATGCTTTCCAACGTGACGGCAACGATTCCAGTGTATAGACCTATGTACAGCCATGATCAGACACCGATATTTAGACTAACTAATATGCGCACCAAGCAATAGAGAATAGAGAACTTCGCGAATTCAATGCAGAGTCGAGCTCTGTAGATATATAGGCTCTATCGGTGTCGGTAAGGTCTGGTACTAGAGGACCGATCTGATTAGCCATCACGGAAGATCGGGGGAAGGTAGAATAACAACGAAGATGGTAGTCTGCAGGGATAACATACACAACGGCACCCTTCGTTATATAGCATGCATAACAAAACATCCAGTGCTGAAAAAGATGATCAGTGCCATGATCAAGGAAACCGTTTCATCCTTGGCTGCTTTGGGTTCAGCACGCTGACTGCACAGGTCCTGGTGTATACACGATCAGGTAAGGATGATGATCACCCAGCATACGAAATCGATAGACTTGATATGTAGGGCTGTACTCAGTACATGCCTGTGTGGAAAATCAGGCTGATATATAACATGGTGGACGTGTTTATCTCACAGATGCTTTCCAACGTGACGGCAACGATTCCGGTGTATAGACCTATGTACAGCCATGATTAGACACCTATATTTAGACGAACTAATAGAATGAGCATCTCGGAAGAGGGACAAGAATATCAGCCTGATTCTCCACACAGGTATGTACTGAGTACAGCCCTACATATCAAGTCTTGGGTAAACAATGCAATACTGCGAAACAGAGACTCACAGTGCCCATACCCACACAAGATTTCTGTTAGATATACAGATTGAGTTTCGGATATAAATGTAGGTAATACGCGCCTACTGTGGCTCCCAGTCCGTATCTCTACAATACATGACCAGCGTCAATCGAACGCTGCTACCAAGAGCACCGGGTAGTACTACAGCCCATGACTTTGCCTGGAAGACATCGCCACTGGTATAGAGTATCTAAGTCGTACTGTCTGAATGTTGCGCTTGATTAGACTACGGATGATCAGGGCCAACGCGAACGAGTGAGGCTATTGGACAAGGAGGTGTCCGGCAGGCATGACCATACTCAACGTTCCACGGGAATCTCCGGTGTATCCACTCGAACACGAATCCACCCCTTCGTACAATCACTGCCAGTGATGCCTTCCCCGCCAGCATTAATCGCAGCCGTGCCCCATAGCTGTCTATCCCTGCGCAGGAAAATGTGCGTGACCCGATTGGGTGACAATGAGGCGCGCCACCGGGATGTCAGGAAAACGTCTTGGTGTAGAATGGAATAAGTGTATAGCGGTCTGGTGGTGTGGATGAGCTCTAGTTTTGGTACAGTTGGAACTTCACGAACCAACCATTCATCCAGTAAACATGAGAGTCCTTCTTACATGTCCAGGCTACCTTTGCCGTAATATGAATCCACGTCCCTTGATGTCGGGAAAAAAACTCACGAAAGACGACAAAGGGCTGAAATCGAAACTCATGTCGCTTTCTCAGTCCGCTATTGATAGAACGTCCGATGTTGTTGTCGCGAGTGAGAACGCCAGATGCTTCAGGGGAGTTTCGTCCATGAAGGACATCGTCATGTTAAGAGAGCCTGTTTTGATGGAGGTAGCAGTTATCGCCGTGTTTAATAACTATGACTAAATATTATATACTAAGATTTAGAATTCTCTGGTAGTATATCGGTTAGTACACGCGCCTGTCATGTCCGAATCTTGTGTCCAATTTCGCGCGAAAGCTGGGTTCGACTTCCAGCCAGAGAGTGTGGGTAGCAGCCTGCTGCATGGATATATTTTGTTCTGATCCCGATCCCTTCATAAGACTAAAGATGGCATATGCCTAATAACTATTGCCCATTCAATCAACAATGAATATTGCTTATTATCTACCTATGTGAGAAGTACCACTGCACGATCCCAAAGCCAAGAGTACTTAACAACTTAAGTCAACGGTTGAAACAAGCCAAAATAGATTTAGTAGAGAAGAGGTCTTTCACAAGGTGAGCGACAATATCATATCTCAATGTGAACTGATCTGTACTCTCTGAATCCGCGCCTCTCCGACATGAGCGGCCATCGACCATCTAGAAAGGATCGTTGTAGGAAATACACCCCGACATCGTCGAGATTGTCGATTGGCACACGCTGTATACCTTGCCATGGGGGGAGTCTCGAGAGAACGTGGAAGCATAATGTTCAAATGATAGCAGCGTCCGCGATTGGACTCGTGCTGGCTCCTTCAGCATGCGAGGCCAAGGGTTGAGGGAAAGAATGCGCCGCTTGGGCCCAGAAGAATTGTCCAGATTTTGGGCGGGATGTTGCTGTCGCGACTCGCATGTACCAGCCGAAGTACGGAAACCGCGCCATAGGAGTAGGGGTAGGAGATGGTCCTTAGAGTTATGCACTCTCATCACTGAAAGTTGAATGTTGGTAACCTCATGTTCACCATGTATTTCGTCGCCCTAGTATCATCGTGATTTTCCCGATCGTACGTCGACTCTCGGATGATTTCGAGTATGTACTACAGGCAAGACGTTTCGGACTATCCAGGTAATTGTTTCGACGGAGAAATAAAGACCGTAGGGGCCTCTTGCAGCTGATCGATGGTTGTTACTCTGACGTCAAGTCGCCGAAGCGGAATGATATCCACCGCTAGGATGCCTCCCGCCGGGGAGGGTGGGAGAGCAATGGTCGACACCCCACGAATCGTGCACAATTGCTACCCCTCGTCACATGCGTCGAGGCCCCTGCCGCAAGTAAGAGGGAATGGAATGCAGTGTGGAAAGCAAAAAAGAAAGGCCGGGGTATTGCGGAATACATGCGCAGGGGGAGAGTTGCTGTTTGGTGTTTACGGATTCAGTGTAGATGGGTTATACCAGGAGGACTTTGATACTCGTCGCCGTCGTAGTGTTCCGTTCGATGGTGAGTGTCGATCTACGTGAAAATGAACCTTGCCAGGATGCGGTGCTTCGCCCAGGTCTATCGAACTTCCCACTGGAACGGCTGTCGCACAGATAGAGGACGCACTAGTCTGCCAAAATCGCAGACTATGTCGAGAGTGGAGGGTGTATATGTTGGCGGCAGCGACAAGGGAGAACTTGTATCGACGGTAGATGTCGCCGAGCTTCACAGGGGACGCCCTTGCACCAGGTCTTCTACCATGATGTATTCCCAGTAATCACGGCCCGGCAGGATGGTAGGAGTAGCACAAAACGTGAGACTGCTGAGATGGCCAGGATTGGATGGGAATGGGAATGAGGCGCGATGTTGGGTGATGCATCGATGGAACCGTGGCTGGGAAGACTGATTGACTGGTAGGTAATCAGGCTGGTCTAGAATTGAAGGTGGCTACAACATCCTTGAAGCCTACGGTTAGTAAATTTCAGAACAACTAGCTCGCTGCTCACTGTGAGGTCCATCCCCAGTCTCAGGGCGCACGGTTCGTTCCCTTCATATCATACGCGGAACCTGGGGCATCCCAGATAAAGACGGAGTAGTGAGGAACACCTACCTCATCGACATCGCTCTAGCCCGACAATCCACCCCTCGATGCCTCCAATCCATCCATCCGTCGCGCTGCCGGTGAACGAAGCTTTGGCTGTCGAAAAGTCGGTTAGAGGACATTGGGAACGACAATATGGGATGAAGGAAGCCGCGTTTGAACACGAATCCACCCTTTCGTACAATCACTGCCGATGATGCCTCCCCCGCCCGCAGCCGTGCCGCATGGCTGTCTATCACTATTCAGGAAAATGCGCCAAAGGAGGTGGGTGGCCCAGCTGTCAGAAACGCGGTTGGATGACAATGAGGTGCGCTACGGAGACGACAGGAAATCGCCTTTGGTAGAGAACGGAGTAGCAAAAAAAGGATGACGTCAATCGCGCGATACCGTGACAGTCAACAAGCGGACCAAACAAACACTCTTTGGACGCGTATTTTCTTTGGCAGAACACAGGTGTTGATGAACTTGATGGATTCCATTTGTTGAGTGGTGCGTCGCAAGCCTGTTTACGGACGCCGGTAAGGCTCACCCATAATTCGGTAGACGAACTTCCGCCTCTAGCATGGATACAGCAGATTCTTCGGCGCTTCAGGTCTTCGTCTTCACGACTGGGGGATTTGCGAGCTCTCATGCGTACCAAATCAGGATGAAGTCATGACTTGAGAATTGCTTTCCTCAAGCTAAGCTCAACGTGTTAGCATCGGTCTTCGATCCCAACAACAGGGATGCCTCGTGAGGGACTCGCATCTTGGTCCGTCAAACCCATGCTGATTCTCTTCAGGTCTATTATTCGGGCATGTAATCGTGCAACTCTTTACAATAATCACAGCCCAAAGTCTGGCGGGCTTGGGCCTCGCGGACGAAATTGCCAACCTTAGTGTTGCACCCGCCTATTCTACCCAGGCGCACAGAAGAATTGCCTTCGCAAACAGATTAGAGGAGCCGTCGCAAAATCTAAGGGGGCGATTTAGACTCGCAACCAGTTTCCTCCTTCGGCTCACGTCACGATCAAGGGGCATGAGCCTACGAACTTCGCACCGTCAGAACGGACCAAACAAACGCTCAGACTCTTCTCTACCACCATCATCTCCGCAAATATTCTCTTCGATACTCTGGGCAGTGGTATGGCTCTAGGGCTGTCTGAGGATTCCTTACAATTGCCTGTTTACAGTTGGTGGCTGGAGCTCATCGACAATTGGTAGGCCGACTGCGATACAGCGGAATATTGGTTTGTTCCGCTCTTCAGGTTTTCTGTCGAATCTTGGGTGAAATGGGAAAGCCACGAAGCCTGGTCCTTTCACAGAACCAGAATGAAGGTATGGCTTGTGAAACGTGAGAGCCCTTCCTACATCCTTCGCCGTAACACGAATTTACGTCCCTTGATAGCAGGGGGAAAAAACTCGCAAATCACGACAAAGGGCTGAAATCGAAACTCGGGTCGCTTTCTCTGATGTTGCTGTCGCGGGTGAGAACGCCGGATGCTTCGGGGGTGTTTCGTCCGTAGAGGACATTCCCGTCGTGTCAAGAGAACCTGTTTTGATGGAGGTAGCAGTCGTTTTGACCGCGATAGCATCAGACTTATTATAAAGAGGTAGCATGAAATATTATACATCGGCACTGTAAATTCCCTGGTAGTATATCGGTTAGTACACGCGCCTGTCATAGAGTGAATCTTTGTTGGTTTTCGCGCGAAAGCTGGGTTCGAATCCCAGCCAGAGAGTTTACACCCTAAAGTTCCCATAATCCCATTTTTCCTCACCCCGGATTCTTCCGTAGGATGCCCAATCATTCAAACATCAACCATGAATATTGCTTATTATCTATGTGAGGAGAAGTACCACTGCACGATCCCAGAGCCTAGTGGTACTTAACATGTTAAGTCACCGGTACGGCCATAACCGAAACAAGGTTTAGCAGTTGGTAAATAGAAGAGGGCTTTCAGAAGGCGAGCGACAATATCATATCTGAATGAGAACCGATCCGTCAAGTCACCGGCCTCTGACGTGCTCTCTGAATCCATGCCCGGCCTCTCTGACATGAGCGGCCATCGACCATCTAGGCGGTAGCTGAAAGGATTATTGTAGGAAATACACCGGTCCCGACATCGCACTGGGAACGTACTTCTTGTCGATGGGAAGGACTGACTACTGAGTTGCTGGATCGATGGTTGTTTCTCTAGACGTCAAGCCCGAGTCACCGAAGAGTACGCCTCATGAGGGAGGGCGGGAGAGCAATGGTGAACGCGGTGGACGGGGTACGATTGCTACAATGCGCCGAGACTGTTGCAAGTAAGAGGGTGTGGAAGGGAATTCAAAAGGTTGGGGTATTGTGGAGTACATGCGCAGGGGATGTCACCAGAAAGAGAAGAAGACAGAGAAGGGAAGAAGGAAACCGGTTTTATTACAGTGATGAGACTCCGTGGTGTATCAGTTGATACACCGCGTTCTGGGTTCGACTCCCAGTCGGAGAGGTTACAACGCAAACATCACGCACTTTTCTTGTTCGTCGCTCTGATGATATCGGGTTGGTTTCCCGGCAGAGTCGTGGAAACGGAAGCGCATTTGTGTTTCAACAGCAGTAGGGTGAGCTGCCACTATACGGTTGATGCCATTCCGACTAGCAGACAACATTATCTCCTACACTGATCTGCAACACCGAACAATGTATCGTGCGGTCGTAGGATCGAATATATACCTCGTCAACGTCTGATTCCCCCGGGGCGATAAAAGCACCATAGAACGAATAGATGATCCCCTTGAGAATGGAAATCGCCAAAGGCTCTAATGTCTTCTTCTCGCGGCCTAGAAGTAGATAAGCACACGGAAAATGGATGAATAAAGATGCCCACGTTTTCGAGAGATCCGGCAGAATCTTCAAAACCTGACCGAGGACCAATTTTCTCTCCATAGCAGCAAACAGACCTGGGACGTCGAAGAAAAATACTCCCCTACCCAACATTTTACCTCGGCGCCATATACTACTGAAAGAGGTTTCGGCTTGAGAATAGGTTTCTCTACGAAGAGGGAAGAGATGTATCGGCGCGTACCCTTTGGAGGTAATGGACGGGGTCACCAGCAACCGTTGACAACAATCACTGGCAAGTCACGATGTGGAGACGGAGCACGGCTTTTTGGGAGTGGCGGCGTCACAAGTGGGGCAGCAAGGTGCTTTTCTTGTTGTCATCTGCGACATAACAGGGTCACCAAGAACTACAAATAAAACTGAGAGTCATACCGTTCTCGTTATCATGCAGGTACTAGCCTCGAAAAAACGACCACAAGCAATAATGGCTGTCAGTTTGTGCATCACGAGTTCTATCTCTTTGGCTTTTCAAGAGAACATAGTCCCAGTCGGCGGTTGAGAAAAATAGAATGCTAGGCGCCCGTCGTTCCCTCCAGGGCTCCCCAAACGTTCTGTCGGTCAACCGTCGAGTCAAGATATTTTTATTTCCTCGACGGAGCGAACAGGAGAGGTATAAAATGGACCAGGAGTCGGTCAGTCATTATCATCAACAAGCTAAACACCACCAACATCTCACCAGCATACAATGTTCGCTCGTATCTTCGCCCTCTCAGCTCTTGCCATGGCCAGTGCGCTTCCAGCTAGTACTGTCGATGGAGGAAGTTGCAACACCGGTACCCTCGAGTGCTGCAAGTCTGTCCAGAGCGTAAGTCCCAAAAACATTGCGCACCCACGGAAGACAACACCAACACTAACAAACGATAGCCTACATCCGCGCCGATTCAGACCCTCCTGGGCCTTCTCAATATCCCGATTGGAAGTGTTACCGGCCAAGTGTAAGGCGTATATTTCTCGTCTGTGATTCGAGGCTGATATATGTTTGAAAGTGGCCTCACTTGCAACCCTATTACCGTAATCGGGCTTGGGACTACCCAGTGTGCCAATCAGCCGGCCTGCTGCACGGGGAATAACTACGTGAGTATTGACAACCCGTGTTCGAGGAGATCATCAGGACTGACCGGCATGGAAGAATGGCCTTGTTGCTCTAGGCTGCACCCCCATCAACGTGGGTCTCTAAGCAAAGCTTATTAAGACGCATGTCTTTCGTGGTTGTAACATTGAAAGAACCTTCGGTTGCCCGTCTTGCGTATAGGTTGCATTTTTTAGTTTTGGTTTCTACAAGTAGCGAGGCCCCTGGCCTGGACACTATATCAGATGAAATATAAATAGTCGTGATTGAAAGTTGACGAAAGAGCGTACATGAAGTGCTTTTTATATATGTAGAGGTGATTCATACGCCTTGTTAGTTATATCGTCCAAGACTAAGGGTGCAGGCATTGCCTATCCTGCCACGATTGACGGAAGAAACCTGGATCGATCATGACAGAAGCTGGTCGACGAGAATGAGGATGGGAAAATCCTTCTTGGCTAGTGGCCGGTTCCGAATCGAAGGCGGCATGTGTCGGGACTCGGAGAATATGATGTATGTGGGCGAGCACACTAGCTAGTCCCGATCGCACGCATATACCCATGATCGGCCCCTTGAATAGATGGAGCCGAGGATGCCCATTGGGTTCCCAGTGGCATTGTAAGGACAGCCATGAAAAAATCCAACGAAGTCCCGAAATTTGCGGTTGAGAAATGTTAATGAACGGCCGAGTACCATCTTGCTGAGAGAGATTTCGTATTCTTCTTCAGACGACGACGGCAAACACTGTATAATTATGCACTATGCACGATCAACATGAAGCTGAAGTCTGGAGCTGAAGCTTCTGAAGGGGTAGAGACTTGTCCCGCTGCAACTATTCTCCCCCTCGTAGGTGAAGGATCCTCGGTCGTGCAGCGCACATGGATGTAGGGAGACGTTGGCCATCGGAAATAGAGCAGTCCGCGCAGGTTCTGGAAAGAAGGGAAGAAACACGGCGGATGTGAGATATGCTCGTCAAATCTGAGTACCGTCTAGTCTCTCGTAGACAGACGACGATACAGACCTTTTGATCGGAGGGAAGAAACGGCAAGACAAAGAGAGAGACTCTTCACTTCGGCACTGGCAGAGGCGAGGATGGGGTCGTACACTCCGAGTGCTAGTGACGCCTCAAGGTTCCAGATAAACCGGCCCATTCTTATGTTCGACGTCGTTCCACGGAATCGCCGTCACGGTGCTGCTGCGCGAAAAGCGAAGTGTCCTGACTGTTTCCGTCGCGCTGCTAGTGACCAAAGGAGGTCGAACCCTTGTCGGAAACGCGGTTGGATGAGAGAGAGGCTGGCGGTATGAATAAACACTCGTTTTCGCTGCAGTTGCCTAAAATTCACGCACCTTTGTCCATCCAAGCTCTACGCGTCTATATCCCTATAACCCATAGCACCAAATTGTCCTGTGTCAACGCGCGGGCTGGTTACGAGTATGGAGAGAAAAATCGTGACGGAGTGGCTGAAATTTTAAAAGAGCCCGAAGCGCCCAATGCTCTATCTCTGACGTAGTGTATCGGTTCGGACATGCACGTGTTATGATAGTTGGGTTCGACTCCCAGCGAGGGACTAATCCGGAGGTTGCGTCGATTTTTTTCCTCAGTTTTGATTCTCCAGCTTCCTTTTTCAAAGCTTCGGGGTTCGCCCATTGTTCATTCCGTGCTTATTTCAGATCTCGACTCTATAGGAAAGACTACTGATACACTAGTTGGCGGGGAGAACGCAAGGCGAGCGACTCCCCGGTCCCGGCTGGTATTCAAATAGGTATTCACCAGGCTCTGAATGTCCATTCGTAGATTCTTGGGCACTGCAAGGTAGGTGTAGTATAGAAAACGCGGCGCCTGTAACGAATGATAATTATGATCCTTGTCTAGTCCACGATAGTGCATTGGTTAGTGTACATAGGTGTAGCAGGGTTCAAATCCCAGGGAGACTTCAATGCATTGGAATGTACTTTTTCTTATGTGGGGTCAAATTAAGATTATGCGTTCCACAAACACAGGATCTAATCCGACCAACGAACAAAAACCAAGCTGATATAATTTATTAGTTGGTAAAGAGAAGGGGATCTTCGAGCGACAAGATCATCCCATGAAGAGCGAGCTTGTCAAGCGACCTCGGTCATACTCTGACTGGTACTCATATACACCCGCCTTCGCGAACTCCAGCAGCGCGGATATATCGACGAAGTAGATGGTCCAAACAGTTAGGCGAAGCTGCTAGGGGTTCGTACAAGTGAGGAAGACGTTATATATCCATGGACAGGAACAGCGGATCCCGAGACACGAGGATATGGATCGGACAATGCAGAGAATATCCCCAGGTGCGCGCCTGGTTTAAACGAGGGGCTGTCGCGCAGTAAAGTCGAATCTGAACGTTTAGAGTTTGTAAACCGGTATATGGTCTCAATATGCAAGGACATTCATTCGCTGCCGCTGACTCTTTTACCGAGAATTAACACCCAAAGGCTGGGTTCAGGAAGGCATGCGGATAAGGTACAACGCGGCACAGGTCCATGGTACACGCGCACGGGTGTAACTTATTCTCCCGTTCAAACACGCCGAGAGGCGAAGCGTGAAAAGGTATGCATACTCTCATAGACCGGCGATCGTGGAACAGGCGTCTGGCATTTTATCATGGTCTGTGCATTGCCGGGACTCCGTGTGGTGAATTTCCGAGAGCCGGATAGCACGGCACTGGACTAGATGCACAGGTCCTTCTGCATTTGTGGCGTGCACCTGATATTGTAGGGGTGGCACGACTCTGCACGCCTAGCCTCGATGAAAACTA